ATCGGAAGACTGGAAGACCTGCCATACGAAGAAAGGCTGAGAAAACTGGATTTGTTCAGCATTGAGAAGAGAAGGCTTAGGGGAGAACAGTACATAAAGGGTGGCTACAAGAAGATGGAGACTCCATTTTTCCAAGGAGTCACATGGAAAAGACAAGAGGTAATGGATACTGGTTACTCCTGGGGACATTCCAATTGGCTCCAGAAGAAACTTTTTCACCATGAGAACAATTAGACATTGGAATAATCTCCCAAGGGAAGTGGTGGACTCCCCTACATTGGACAGTTTTAAGATTCAGCTTGACCATATGATTTAAACTGTATTTTTACCTTGAAAGATTTGACTAGATGATCCTTGAGGTCCAACCTGGTATTCTATGATTCTCCAGCCTTGGTTTTCAAGGGTGGTGAGTACCAGTCTGGGTTTGGCTAGCAGGAGTCATTCAGCATGGAAAATGTCAATGTCGCATTGGACAATCTCCTAGAGGGCCAACATCAAACACTTTTTAATAGATAATGTTACCTGACCCACTACAATAAAGAAAAATCTGTTGAAGAGAAACTATTTAACTAGAAAGGAGAAACTACAGCAAAGTTTTCTGCTTGAAGAATGTTAAAAGTATCCAGAGCTTAGTTATATATAGGCAAGTAATCTAATCCAATGGTTCCCCACCACAAACCTTGAGTGTTACAGATTTTGTCTGAGTAGCTGGACAAGAGCAAGGTATTTGCAATGTGGAATAAATGGGTGCTATAAAACGGGATCTTTGTCAATAACTTGTGATCACAGTGTCACCAGTGATAGAATCATCCTGACAAAAAGAAATTTCTGTATCCAACAAAATAGCAAGTATTCCAAGGGAGAAACGCTTACACTCAAGAACTAATTTAATAGATTTTTTTATAATAAATATCAGAAGAAACCTTTTTACACAATAGCCTGTTAACAATGACCAAAAATATAAAAATCAAAATCACACCCTAGGTCCACCTTTCTAGTTTTGCAACTTGTGACCCTTGCAGACTAACACTCAATAAAAATCCAATAATATTCATTGATATTTTTATCTTAAAATAACACACAAAGTCCACGTAACAGCTCCGCAGCCTTCCTCAGAAATGCCATGCATGACTGGAAAGTCCATTTTATAGCCCTGTGCAGCAAGTGGCGTCATCTAGAAAGTTCATTTACGAAAGTCTGTCTTTGCTTGTGCCAGTCTCTGCAGGCTGGACTGTGGTTGTGATATCAAGTCACTTTAGTTTTTGTAGTTGCATTTTATTTTTCCTACAGTTTTGTGAAGAATCACAAACTAAAGTATTGTTATTGGTTTTAAGGTCCAGCGCCACACGTTTCCGCTGGAGTCAGTGCTACTACACAGCCCAAGACGAATGGGCCTTAGACAACATCTACATTGGACAGCAGTGTCCCAACATGTGCAGCGGACACGGCTGGTGCGACCACGGTGTTTGCAGGTATAAAGCATTTGCCTGTTCCTCTTAACAATGGTCTCCTGATACTTCAGGTATCCTATTCTTTTGCATACTTTTTTTTTCTTTTCTATTGTTCTTACTGTTAGATTACACATTAAAACATAAAAGCACTATAAGTGGTTAGACCATTCAAGCAATATTAACAGTGGGTTGCTCCACACCTCTCTGTCCAAGAACCCATATCCTTGGCAGATCCTGGTATTAGAATAACTTTCAGTGGTACAGGGCTGCCCTGCTGCAAGGGTCCTCGGGGTCCCTCCAGCCCTTTGCACAAGGGCTCCGGGGACCAGCTCAGTGCCAGAGATGTTTCACTGGGTCAGAAGGACACCAGGGACCAGATCATCACTGCTTGGCAGTCACTGCCAGACTGGGTGCAATACCAAGGGCACAGACTACTGTCTGCCAGTTTCGAACTTTACGGGCACTACCGGCGGGTTTTTTTAGAAATAAGATACAGCTTTTTTTCATTATCCAGTTATTCTAGTTTGTTTCCAGGATCAAAAATTCCAATCCCAGAATGATTTGCTATTTCACATGTAACTTTACAAGGTCAGTGTGCCGCCTTAAGTATTGTTAGCATCACATAGACTTTAAAAGCTTGTTACATTTATGCTTCCTTGCAGGTGTGACTCAGGGTTTCGGGGTACTGAATGTCAGCCTGAAAATCCCCTTCCTTCAACTATCATGTCTGATTTTGAGAACCCAGATAGCCTGAAGACAGAGTGGCAGGAAATTATAGGGGGAGAGATCGTCAAGCCTGAAGAAGGCTGTGGGGTCATCTCATCTGGCTCCTCGCTCTACTTCAACAAGGTACTAACAAGGGATGGGAGACTGAGAAAAGAACATACTGTAGGTTTGAATGCAGCATAATGTGGTTGTACGGCAAAGAAAAGGAAAGTGGCAAAAAGCTGCATGCCGTATGAGAAGTACATTAAACAACACAGCTGTGCTCTGCAGGTAAAGGACAAAGCAATCAAGAGAGACAGGGATAGACACATGCGTTATGTGTTCAAGAAATACCAGCTGTAATGGAAGGAAGTAAATCTCCAGTGTGCTGGGAAGTGTGTACATTCATATTCTCTTAACTGTGCATTTTCTGTTTTAAGACTCAGTTCTTTCTCAGCATCCAACAGCTCCCATTTGTTTGTTCTGTACTGTCCTGGGTGAGGGATGGAGAAATGTTGGATTTCCAGGGGACAAGCAGATTAATTTGAGGTTACAGGACCAAAACTAGTGAAAAAACAACCCTTCCAAACTTTTAGAAACCGGTTAGCCTGTAGGAGAATACTCTTCTGTATAACATGCATGGTTTGCAGGAAAAAAATAACAGTGCAAGAAAGAGATATAGGGAATTCTGCTAATTAATAGCAATTATAACTAAAGTAAAAAGATATCTTTATGACCAGATGTGAGATTATGTGTTGCAATCACATATTTATTTTTTATTGTTGCTTCTCAGGTCTAGTACTGGGGTTTGTTTTGTTCTTAATTGAAAGGGAGGATATAAATGCAGCTATGTGTTTGTCTTTTAAAGGTTTGATCAAACTGCCACTGCTGTCATGAGAGCCCGATTAGTCCCAGAAGAATAACCCAATATGCAACGCCACGTAACTGTGTGTTGTTTACCTCATTACAAAAATCTAACCCATCAAATAATTTTCAGCACTCCTACATAGACTCACATCCAGCTTCCCTAGAAATGCAGCTCTGCACTGAAAATTTCATAATAGACCAATCAGTATAACTAGCTAATTGTGATAATTGGATTTTTTTATCTAATTGTCTTCTCTGTTAGATGTTTTTCCTTCTGGCTCAGTTCCTTATGCCAAGTTTCACAAAAGTAGTTTGCTAAATTAGAATTAACCTGCTATGATCTTTCTGCTGATTTCTACTAAGGAGGAGTGAAAAACTCATTTAGAAATCCTTGGCTTCTTTCTATTGATCTCTAAGGGTTAGGTTATCATTCATTTCTTGAGTAGTAACAGTCTGTGTGCCATTAACAGAAGGTGGTTTATTTAATTTCTGTTTAGATCTTTTTTGAGGCATCTAGTGGCCATGCTCATAGATAATAAAAAAATATTTTTCTAGTTGCCCAAGAGTTCTGTATTGTTTTGGGAACTCATATTCACAGCCTCCATTTCTTTTCAATTGCTCAAATAGCCACTTCTTATTTGAATGTCTACTGTTTACTGCCATAATCAATTACTGCTACCAGAATTAATGTTGGCTTCATTTTGCCAACCCTCTATCTTTTGTTTTACAACTCATTTTAATTAATTGTAGGTGTGCTAGCAATACAGAGCTCTTTCAATTAGCCCCTGCAATTCCTCTGAGGTTTTATGTCACTGTTGCCCTTTCTCAATTAACCTGGTTCTGTAGCTAACCCTTTGGCAGACAGAGCTGCTGTGCGGTGTAGATATGGAAAACCCACCACAGAAGCTGTGAAAGCAAACTACCAAAAAGATTATCAGTGTCAGCTTGGCCAGTATTAGCCATATGGGGCTGCACCAGGAAGCTCAGGGCTGCACCCAGGATTGAGCCCATCTCACTCTCATGGCACCATCCAGGAGGGCTTTGCTCAGCTGGGGATAAGCCACCAAAAAGCCAAAAAAAGCAGGCATAATTCAAGACCAAATCAATATGACTGTATCTTAAATGAACTTTTTGAAGGTCAAAGATTCTTCACAGGTCTTAATTGTTATCAGTGGTGCAAGCTAACCAATTTTCAAAAACACAAGCATTCAGCTTTCAGAAATTAGTCTAGCAGTGTGATGTGGCCTATTTGGTAGAGTCTACAAATAAGCTATGGACCCAGGCTGTAACACCAGCAAAGCAAAGTGTTCTGAGAGAGAAAGCAATAGACATTTATCTGTGCTGAGTTTACCCTGACCTGGGTAGAAAGAGGAAAGAGGGGACAGGTGGAACAGGATTTAAACTTACCTATCATCTTATTAAAAAACACAAATGATATTTTAAGTCTCAGCTCATAAATATTGTTACTTATGTCCAGCTAGATCACATCACTTGCTTATCTCAAATTTGTCTGTAAATTTGCCCGAAGGATCATGAATGTACAAGTAAGAAAGAAAAATACAAAAATTACTTAAAACATAGGCATAATTTTATAATTTACCCCAGGTTTTTCTTTTGGATACCTTTTTGTGCTTGGAGATGGACAGGAACTCATGACCTTTTAGGCAATTAGGAACAGTAAGTATGTTGCCAGTTCTGCACAAATTTGGGGGGCAGTTCCAGTTTGCAGCTACTTTTAATGAATGCAGAAATATGAATCCTGCACCCTCCCTCCAGCTGCACGTATTTGGCTTTACCCTACCTATAAAAGCTTGTGGCAGCACGACATTATGCCATGGCAGGGCCGTGCCAGGTCTGGTGAACAAGAGTCATCTCTGTGGGGACACTCCTCTTGCCCTGTGTCCTGCCTCACCATGGGCAGCTCTACATCACATACCAGCATCTTGTAGGCTTGTTGTACAAGCCCACAAGCTCAGCCTGAAGCACCATGGTGCAAGGGCAAGAGTGGGACAGGATAATTCCAGCTACAATAAAAGGCTCTTAAACCTTAAAGCTTTTTTTTAGCTGAATATGCTTGGTTTTCCTTTGTCAACATGCACAGAGTGACTATGTTGACCACTGTGTAGACATCCAAGAGCTGTTTCGTGCCAGAACTCAAAAACATCCTTGGAAAAACTAGTCACTAAATTTTATGAGGCTGTTTGTCTCAGCTATGCTTATGTAAACCTGAACCCAAATCTACATGTTTTAGTTGAGAGACTCACGATTTACAACACTTACTACGAAAAGAGTATAGTTTTATGTAGGAACAAATCCTACTCAGGTGAAGCATGAAGAGAAAATGCCATTCCTTTGTTCTTGTATAGGAAACAGGCTTCAAGCAACAGGTATTATAGGGGCTATAGTTTCAGATGATTGGGTAACCCTATACAGTGCAAGATTTGAGTGGGGAAATGGGACTTCAGAAGGGTCATATTACTGCTTTATGTTTTATCATTACAAAACTGAGTACTTAGAAGTTTAGCCCCAGTTGGTTCAGTATACCCAGTACCTCTCTTTGTCTTCTGAAGGTACTTAGGACCTTGAAGGCAAGAGATTAAATAGTTGTATGGAAATTGTGTTGTGAAGTTGCATTGCATGTTGAAAACTGTCTATATTTAGCCTATAACCAGGGCTGAACTATAACAGTTGCTTTATCACCCAATGACCCCTCACCAGCCAGGAAGGGGAAATGGGAAAGGGAGAGGACATCCACAAGCTGAAGCGAAAACAGATTTAATGAAACAGCACTAATACCAACAAAGGTATACGTCATACTCAGCTAAATGAATATGCAGCAGTCCCAGTCAACAGCAGAGCAGTGCTCAGGAGCAGGAAGAAGGCAGAGGAGGAGCCAGAGGACCCCCAACAGGACACCAGCCAGAGCCCCAGCAGAAATCCAGCAGGAGCACTTTCTCCTGAGCAAACTTTCCCCTCTATAATGGCCATGACATTATGGGATGGGCTACCCCCGTAGCTCACTCAGGTCAGCTGCCCTGGCTGACTCGAAACTGCAAGCAGCCTGCCTGGCACGGCTGGGCTGTGATCCTATCCCAGCCAAACTAGCACAAAATCTAATAGTAAAAATTCTTGTGGGATCACACCAGGGTGATTTAGATGTGAAGGATGGTCAAGCAGAATCGTTGTCTGAAAGACAAAAAAAGCCATGTTAACACAAAATTCAATTACATCCTCCATGTCGTGCAATTTTCTGTGCAATATTTATCTGTGTTGGACTATAAATACATCCATTCATAGTGAAGGTGTCATTTTTAATATTATTATTGCCCTTCTGTTCTTTGCATTGTAGGCTGGAAAAAGACAGTTGGTAAGCTGGGATTTGGACACGACCTGGGTGGACTTTGTCCAGTTTTACATCCAGATAGGAGGAGAAAGTTCTTCATGTAATAAACCAGACAGCAGAGAAGAAGGTGTGCTGCTGCAGTACAGCAATAATGGTGGTATCAACTGGCAGCTACTAGCAGAAATGTATTTCTCTGACTTCAGCAAACCCAGGTATAATTTTGGTCTAAATTAAATCCATACTGCATCAGCTCTTTAAAAAAACAACTGTTTCTCAATTTATGAAAGCATGAATAATAATTTCAAGGTATAACACTTAAAAGCTATCATTGTATTGAAACTTTTCCAGGGCTGCCACAGTAAACTCCTGTCACTAGGAAGCAAAAATCTAATGAAAGTGGGCCTTAAAAAAACTGAATCAAAATCTAAAGTTTCAGATCACTCACCCTCCCATGTGATACTTGACTAAAATGCTACTATCTGCAAAACATTAGCAAGCAAACACAGAACTTGTCCACAAGTGTTGTAGAAATCTGCCATTTCCTCTGACTCTGGTTTCAGATCTTATGAACATGTATTAGTGTCACATACGACAAAAACTCCTTTAAAGAAATATTTAAGGAGAAGAAATCATGTTCAGCATTTCAAATTTGCTGTAAGATAGCTTGTCAGTGAAAATTTAAATTGCGTTTGTCTGCATAGATATTAACATTACTTCTATTACCTGTAGTTCATGTCTTTCAATATGTAAATAATTTTATCTTTGCATCTTGTCATTTTGCATTGCCATGAATAATGTTTTCAGAAGGACTTCTGTAACTCAGCAAACTGTCCTTTTCTAAAGGTGATCTAGGCACTTGGAAGTATAAAACCACGGAACTTTGTGTAGAATAGAATAGAACACAACAGACTATTTCAGTTGGAAGGGACCTGCAACGATCATCTAGTCCAACAGCCTGACCACTTCAGGGCTGGCTAAAAGTTAAAGCATTGTCCAAATGCCTCTTAAACACTGACAGACCTGGGTCATCAATCACCTCTCCAGGAAGCCCGTTCCAGTGTTTGACCACCCTCTCCATAAAGAAATGCTTCCTAACGTCCAGCCTAAACTTCCGCTAATGCAGCTTTGAACCGTTCCTATGCGTCCCCTCACTGGATCCCAGTGAGAAGAGACCAGCATCTCCTTCTCCACTTCCCCTTCTCAGGAAGCTGCAGAGAGCCATGAGGTCACCCCTCAGCCTCCTTTTCTCCAAACTAGACAAACCCAAAGTCCTTAGCTACTCCTCATAGGTCATTCCTTCCAGCCCTTTCACCAGCTTTGTTGCCCTCCTGTATGGATCTTCATAGAAGAACTTTAGGCCTTCTCAGACAGTTTGCTTTTTATTCAAATTTGTAAACACCTTACAAAAATGATGTTAAATAAAAGTTAAAGTTTCAAACCTAGTCATACTTATGTTAAAAAGTACAATAATTAGTTAATTGTTCAGTCCGATTTAGAGACCTTACATATACGCATTTGTACATATATTCCTTTTGATATTCTTTCTTTATATCATGTGTTATTTTGTACCATGGACCCTCAGTTGCTGGTTAGGCAGAGAGAGGTGGAGGAATTGTTCAGGGCCACAGGATACCTTCTTTTCCAGAGGACTCCTAGATTTATGTCCTGGAAAATAAGGAATTGGAAAATAAGATCTGGACCACGTTTCGAGCAGCAGAAAAATAAATATGCATAGCTATATTCAGTAAGGACCCTCACTCTTGGTTACTCAGAGGGACAAATGTTTTGTCTAAAAATAATATATTGGATAGTCCAGTGATGAAGGTTTCAGCATGTAGCTTCTTTGTTGGATGTGTCCTGTAATTTTGATAAAGTAGAGGTTAAATCACCTGCCTAGTGGATGAGGGGAAGGCGGTGGTTATAGTTTTTCTGGATTTTAGTAAGGCTTTTGATACTATCCCTCACAGAATCCTTTTGGACAAGTTGTCCAGCTGTGGAATAAGTGGGTTCATGGTGTCTGGGTGAAGAACTGGCTGAAGGGCAGAGCTCAAAGGGTTGTAGTGGATGAGGCTACATCTGGCTGGTGACTGGTCACCAGTGGCATTCCTCAGCGTTCAGTTCTAGAACCAGTTCTGTTCAATATATTTATCAACGATCTGGATGCAGAAGTTGAATGCATCTGCAGCATGTTTGTTGATGATACCAAATTGGGAGGTACTATTGACTCTCTTGAAGGAAAAGAGGCCTTGTATCTAGACAGATCAGAGTGTTGAGCTATGATTAATGGTGTGAAATTTAACAAGTCAAAATGCTGTATTCTGCACCTAGGATGAAGTAACACTGGGCACAAATATAAATTGGGAGCGGAGTGGCTGGAGAGCAGCCCTGCAGAAAGGGATCTGGGGGTGCCGGTAAACAGCCGGCTCAATAGCAGTCAGCAGTGTGCCCTGGCAGCCAAGAGGGCAAACCCCATCCTGGGGTGCATCAAACACAGCATAACCAGCTGGTCAAAAGAAGTGATTATCCCACTGTATTCAGCATTGGTGTGATCTCACCTTGAGTACTGTGGTCCAGATCTTATTTTCCATTTATTTAAAAATAAAATATTTTTATCCACAGTAGAAAACTCTGCTACATAAGCTATTGCATCGTAATAGAAGGATGCTTTTGATTACAAATAAAACCAACCAGCAGAAGAGAATGAGAAATTAATTTTGCCAGCATATTTTGCTATTACTTGCTGGCACCAGAAGAACATTAAGACTTGCTGACAAGGATCATCTGAACAGTTTAATTCAAAGCTGGAGAGTTCAAATCAATTCCTTATTGTGCTAGGCAATTAGTAGTAGAGAGTAAAAAATAGCCATTGTCTTAAGGAGTTTACATTGTTCACAGACAAGAAGGTCGAAGAAGGCTTCATGATAAGCAGTTTATAAATAGATATTCAGATGATATATAGAAGATTTCTGAGGGCCTCTACATGTAAGATAGAGACTGGCTTTCCTGCCTCTTTTCCCTGTCCAGTGGTATTTCTCCTATTTCTCTCCAAACTGTGTTCCCTAAAGTTCTGCTGAATTTCTCTTCTTCAGGTTTGTCTATCTGGAGCTGCCAGCTGCAGCCAAGACACCTTGCACCAGGTTTCGCTGGTGGCAGCCTGTGTTTTCAGGGGAAGGGTATGATCAATGGGCCATCGATGACATCATCATTTTGTCAGAGAAGCAGAAGCACATCATTCCTGTAGTTAATCCCACTTTACCACAGGTAATAAGCAAGAGCAGGCTGTGAGCATACCCACGAAAAAGGAACCATCCTCTCTGTTAGTAGATTTCTCTTTAAATATAATTTTCTTTGAAAGTATCGTGTGTATTTAAAGAAACAGCTGTGGTGTTTGCAGCTGCATCCCTCTGTGTGGGAATAACCTGGGTCTTACCACAAAGACATCAGGCTCCTAATCTTTATGACAGAAGATATAATTATTTATCTTCTCAAAGAGTCAAGACAGAAATTTTGGACATCTCACTTTTTTGAAAATGACAGAAAATACAGATTGCAAAATTTGAAAGTTGATCATTTTGGAAATTACTCTGAAGTCACACTGCAAAGTGGTAGTACTCGCTGTTGCTTTCCTTTTCATTTCTAACAGAACTTTTACGAAAAGCCAGCATTTGATTACCCTATGAACCAACTGAGCGTATGGTTAATGTTGGCCAATGAAGGGATGGCCAAAAATGAAAGTTTCTGCTCTGCCACCCCCTCTGCCATGCTCTTTGGTAAATCAGATGGAGACCGGTTTGCGGTTACTCGCGATTTGACTCTGAAGCCTGGATACGTCCTGCAGTTCAAGGTATTCCTTAAACATAAATCCCTACAGAATATCAGTAAAACTGCCCTTAGTCAATACTAGCAAGGTGTCACTGGGGCCACAGTTCAAAACAAGGTGATAAATTATACCACTACATAAAAAGATGTGAAGAACACAAGTATGAATTCATACAGCATGCTGCTTTCTAAAAGGATAGCCAAAATCTTGGTGCAGGAGAGCTTTTTTACCCGTCTGAAGAAGCTTTAAAGCTTGTTGTTCTACAACACATTTCAGAAGTGGGTTGAAGAGACTGTCACTATATTCAAGTCAAGACTAGGAAATGCTATTGCACCATCAAGGGAAAAAGGATTTATCCCATCTGGGGTTCCATGACTACAAAAGCTCCAATGTGGTTTGTGTACATTTTTTGTATTTTAAACTATTTAAGGACTTACAAGCCGCTCTGTACTCCAGTGTGGGGTTTTTATATAATTTACTTTTATTATGTCAATGAATATAGGTTCCAATTAGCATTCTCTTCTTTAAAGGGCTTACAAAAATTTCAGTGGTCTGACAATACATCAGAATACGGGTTCCAAAGAAAGTGTATTTGCTTTGACAAGCTCTTGTTTCTGAACCCTAATCAAAATTTTATTGAGTTTATAATGAAATCCCATTGGTGAATTCTGGAGGTTGGTTGCAATGCAATTTTAATGAGCTCACCACAAATACATGGTCCTTACATAATTGGTGGATACAGACACTGAATAATTTACAAGTGGAATTATTAGAGATCAGATGTTTACAGGCAGCTTTTCAAATATAATTCCCACAGTTCTATAAATAGGAAAGTTAGTTAGAAATAATGGGATTTGTAAAATAATCTCATTTAATCTAAAAGTTATGCTAATGAAATGCTATACAAACTGAGGGACTGCAGTACAATTTCTGAGTATTGCTTGTAGATTTATACTTTAAACTCTCTAACCCCAAAAATATTTCAATATATAAATACCATTCAGCCTAGAGATGCTATTTGCCTCTTCACCACTTTCCTCTACTTCAGTGACTAGGTCTCTGTTCTGTAGGTTTGATCGTCAACAGCATTTCGAAAATTGTTTAGTCTAAAAAAGCAATACTTAAAAATATTTCACACACCTTCCATTGCTAAAAAACTTGGCAATGTAACATAAATATACCAAACATAAACAAGATGTATCAGAGAACAGTGAGTTCTTGTTTATAGAGTCTATTATTTAAGGCCTGCATTTATACTTCTCTCTTCTTTGGAAAGCTTTTAAACTGGCCTGCATGTAAATGTGTTAATCCTATTTGCATGCTTTAATTTCAAACATATGGTTAAATGCTTTCCTAAGTTTGTGAAATTTCTATTTTAAATAGCTGCCTGGAATAATTCTGCATTGATAAACTCAAAGACAGTAATTTGTCAAAATTATTTCATTTTACATGAATGACTTTGTTTTACATTTTACATTCTACAGCTCAAGTAGAATTTCTGCAATACAATAATGAAAACTAATGTTTTTCTGATAGGTTGAAAAATGAAACTGAAAACTTCAAATCAGCAGTAGATTTTTGTCTTGGTTTCATTCTTATTTCACATTTTAATATGCATTTTTTTACTTCATCCAATTTTGCTCTGTTTTGGGGGCCCAAACTGCTGCGCCAACTCCCAGACACCATTCCTGGGAGGCCAGTGACTAGGCTGTGGTCAGGGCTTGCAGCCCAGCACAGCGGGGAGCTGGGAGTCAGGCTGATCCTCTGGGCACATGGGGTGGACTGCAGATGGGATGGGTCTCAGAGGAAACAGCTCTTCCACTCCTCTGGCCACGTAGGTGCCTGCGCAGAGATTGCTGTTCGTGGTGTGCTCTGCACCAGGACCTTTGAAGAGTTCTTTGTACATTTCAGTGTGCTGAACCTGGCAACCGTAATGAAGGGATAGTGGGAATTTTTACTGAGAAATGTCATATATGTGTAGGAAACAGACTCCAAGCATCAGTCACTGTTTGCCAGCAGGGTTCAAAGCAAGTTTTCAGAGTGCTGAGACTCATAAACCAAGAAGTCAAAGCTGGTTTGCAGACAATAAATGCCAATAATAGTGCAGGTTTTTTCAGTTCATATCTGATGCTCTGCTTTTTTGCAGCTGAACATTGGTTGCACCAACCAGTACAGCAGCTCTGCTCCCGTTCTGCTTCAGTACTCGCATGATGCTGGGCTTTTCTGGTCGCTCGTGAAGGAGGGCTGTTACCCTGCATCTCCAGGCACAAAAGGATGTGAAGGAAGCTCCCGGGAGCTGAGTGAGCCGACTGTGTATCACACAGGAGACTTTGAGGACTGGACAAGAATTACTATTGTTATCCCCAGGTCGCTTGCAGCCAGGTACTGTACATTGTAAACCAGTGATGCCAGTGGTACCCGTGAATAGGCTGTCTCTTCTTTGATGCTGCATTAGGAGAAAGTTGCAAGCTGTAGATAAAAGCAGTGTTAAAAATCAGCAGATCTGGGAAAAATACAGTGCTTTCCAAAACAGGGAGGAGCTTTTCATTTTAAAGCAGTCAGAATGGTCTATAAAATTACATTACAGAGCAACAAGGAAACCAGAACATTTTAATTTGACATCAATCTCTTCATCATGGTGCTGCCTGTCTTTACACTTATCAGTTAGGTCAGAGGCACCAGCAAGAGAGTGATAGGTCACTTGAATCAAATAAGCCTTTCGAACAGGATTAATTTTACAGTTGTCACTGGGCAAAGAAATCCTAGAAGGGTATTTGAGCTGTTGCGTAATGTGCTGTGTCATTGAAGGTGGCCAGGACAGCTGAAGTCAAAGGAGGGAGGAATGACAGGTGTGCTCATCTGTGAGCGTGACCTCAGCATCATGTTAATACAGATGAGAAAACATCAGACAGTGGAAGACACAAATAAGCTTTGAAATCAGAAGGCTTTTCTCAGTTTTACTTGGATTTGGCTGAAGTTTCTCACTCCCCTTGTTCACTGTCAGTAAACTGCCCCGGTCAGATTTGGTGCCTGCACCAAGCGCTGCCAGCGCAGCCAGCAGCCATCCCCCACGCCCCTGGCCATGCCCCTGGCCATGCCCCTGCTGCCTCCTGCCTCTCTCCCCGCAGGCAGCTGCTCTAGTGCTGCCTCTGGGTTTTAGCCCCATCCTGCCGCCACAGGCTACTCATCCTCAAGCCTTGGCACAGATTTTGAGTATGTATGTGGCATATTGTGTAGCAGGGGAGCCAGTGCCTTTGCCGCAAGGAGTTGAAATAGTAACGTGTACCGTAACAAGTTTGTCTTTTCTTCAGTAATTAGCCAATAAAAGCAGGTGCCAAATTGCACAGATCTGACACCAGCTGATTTGATTTACCCAAAACAAGCAGTGCAGAATCAATACCAGCAATCTGTTTGGCATTATGTTCAGTACTGTGATCAGGAATAAGAAGCTCAGGCTAATACATTAAAAATGTAAGTATTGTGAGTACGATGAGGGTCTTGGTGTGTTGAAAACTGAATTCACTGTGGGTCGCTTTGGAAATCATGGTTCATGGGTTATTTGGAGACCATTCCGTTTCATCGGTTGGTACAGAGCACCAGCATGGTGATCACCTACCTACCAAATCCCAGTGCACAGCAGAAAAAAAGCAATAGGTTTATTATATTTTAGGCAGAGTTACAAGGAGGATCTTAGTTAAACTATTGGATTGGCAGATTTTAAATCTGTTCCCCTTCTGAAGCTCCTATAAACTGATTCAGCTGAAAGTTAAAGACCAAAAATTAATAATCAAAATATTTTTTCTTCAACAGATTTCCTATGCAGTGTGTCAGCTGGAGTAACTTATTGTAGGCTCACTGAGGTCCCTGTTTCAGTTATACAAGTTAAGGGTTAGATCACTGTTTTCCAGGAATTTCATGTTGTCGTCCAAGAATAAAAACTTAGTATTTCTGACCACATGTCCTGTAGGACACGTTATTTGACATTATTTTTAGAAAGTAGATGATTTTTCTTGTATCCAAATTACTTGAGGGTTTTTTACACAAAATACAATCCCATAATAAACTCTGCAACACTGACACAACCCAGTTCATTTCATAAGTACTGTAAGAAATGGAGTTCTGGGTTCTAACATGTAATTAGCAGTTCAAGTCAAACTGGGTAGCGAGTCAGAGTCGTGTCTAATCATGCACTTATGTTGCTAAAACCTTTTATCTGTTCTTTACATCACACTGATGGATACAGGCCAGAGAAATAAAGTCAAAATACACCCCAAAAATCTAAAAAATATCCTGAAGTGAAGTTGCACAAAATCTACGTAGGATGTCAGAAATATTTTCCAGGCACCCATTAGCAAAAGCTCCTTTTAAGTTTAAACAAGGAGCAGTAGATATTGAAGTTGGGAATAGTAATACTGTGCTCTTCCTCATTGTTTCTCTATAGTAAGACTCGATTCCGCTGGATCCAGGAGAGCAGCTCCCACAAAAGTGTGCCTCCTTTTGGCTTAGACGGCGTTTACATTTCTGAGCCTTGCCCCAACTACTGCAACGGTCACGGGGACTGCGTCTCGGGGGTCTGCTTCTGTGACCTGGGCTACACAGGTAAGACAACCCTTTTTAGGTGGGATTACAGTAAGCATTGGCTGAGTTACAGCTGTAAATCTAGCATCTTGTTTTTCCTATCTGATAGTCTGGAAAAATAGATGATGACATAAATTTCATGGGCTGCCAGCAAGAATCTTTTCATTCTGTTAAATAAAATTCAGCACAGGCAAAACAGAGCAACTGAAGGCAGCGGACACTGATGATGTTTCTGGCAACCACAATCTTTGAATATCACCATCTGTATGAATGGGAAGAGACTAGCAATAAAAGAGAAAACAAAATAAAATATTATAAACTGAAAAGTCTGCTTAAAAGCCTTTGGATCATCTTCAAAAGATGCTGGTTTTGAGTCCCCTGGCCATCAGATGGCATGGGACCAGGAGAGAACATATGTTCTGACAGGCCCTTCTGTGGAAAATTCTGCTCACTTGTGGTTTCAGGGGGTTTTATGCTGAAATACAAAAAAAACCCCAACCCAAACCCAATAAAAAAAAACAGTGATTGACACAACCAGTTGCACATTACACCCTTTTCAATCCTCTATACCAACAAAGCAATAAGATAACATCTTTTATTCAATTTGTTTAAAACAAAATAAAAAGATAATTTTTCTGCTTACATAAAATGCCTTATCAACATAAAGCATGGCTGGTTTTCACCTAGTGAAATAAGCTACCTTACAGTTTAGAGGAAGAGGGCTTACTCTGCTTACAAATATTTGTAAAGTGGGTTAAAAAAGATACAATGCTGTTGTCACGGCTTTTTCTTAGAAAAGCCCAATACTTTCTCATATGTGAATGCAACAGAACCGTGTGCCAATGTACTTTATGACCTTTACTCTGTTCAGCACAGTTTCACCAAAGCATCTCCCATATTTTTATTTTTTTTGTCTTGAAGCGTCGCATGGAACCTGTGTGTCTAATGTGCCTAATCACAGTGAGATGTTCGACAGGTTTGAGAGGAAGCTAAGCCCTCTCTGGTACAAGATAACAGGAGGTCAGGTTGGGACAGGCTGTGGCGTGCTCAGCGATGGAAAATCTCTATACTTCAATGGACCTGGCAAAAGGGAGGCGAGGACTGTTCCCCTGGACACCACAAATATCAGGTCAGTCCTCTGTGCTGCTTCTCACAATTGTCTGTTTTCATGCTGTTTCCTCTCTGTTATTACAAGTGTAGATGTGAGAAAGTAGGAAATGTTTTTCTGGTAGTTGCAACCTGTGCAAGAAATCTTAAAGGCAGAAAAAATACTTTTTTGTTCATTCTGATGTGCTATTCATTTTCTTGAGAGAGAATACTTGGGTTAGAAACAGTTGAATAGCAGCATAAAAAAATATGAACTCTTTATTCTTCTGAGAAGATGGTTTGCACTATATTCTAAATGGACAGGCAGAAGATGTGGTCTTGAGACTGCACAAAATCTAAGACTTTGCCCGTAGCCAGACAGAAAATCTCCCTTTCCCCCGACTGCATTGAATTGCAGGCATGGCAATGGAGTAGCAATGAGCTGTTGTTTACTTGCCAGATGTTGTGAATTAGTCCACTTGTCAGAAGGGTAAAAAAAGGGAATATGATTTATTTCTATGTAGCCAAGAGGTTAGCAAGCCTTCACCTCTCTCCATGCTACACTGATAGCAATTATCCCTTTTCTCTCAAATTGTCTAATTGAATAATGCAATTAGGATAAACGAGAGCTGTTAATCCTAACCATTATTAAGCCTGGAGTTTGCTGCTGCTTTGTCCAGTCTTATGAGGGATCATGCACCTGAAACCTTGCCCACCCTACAATTATACCAGTCAGCTTAATAAAAGATATTTCTCTTGGCAAATACTGCTCCAAGAGAAAGTAACGCCATGATTTGCTGCATTATTTAATATGTGAGATCACTCAGTAAATATTTGCCACAAGTTACTACTACAGCTCTCCAGCTCAGGCAAGCAGTGCTCCTTAAGGCAGCAGGGGTGCTGCGGGTTTGGGGACAACCTTAGCTGCTCCCTGGCATCAAGCAGCACAGCACCAGATGCCTTTCCTCCATCCTGTGTGTGCCTAACAAATACGTGAATTATTTATATAATTATGTAAATTACTTAATAATTAAGCTAATTAATTGTTTGACAAATACACTTTGGACAAGTACATGTTTGCACTGAAACTCTGGGAAGGTCTGAGCACTTCTTTTCTGTTCCACTGTCCTTTTAAATCTTGTGTTATTAATCCTGTGAAGCATAATTTTGGAAGTAACCACATCATCAAGAAGTCTGTATTCAAACAGTATTTTGGAAATATTCCTTCTTTCCTGGAGAAAGGATTTTCTTTACCTTTAAGATTACTTTGAAACCACTTATAATGCCACATTCTCATATTTATATCTTTCCATTTTTATAGAGTTTGAACCATTTTAAAAGCCAGAAGAAGTTTTAAAATATCGAGCAATGCTCTTTCTTGACTTTTTTCATCCATCACTACTCTGTTTTGCACAAGAACATAGTCATCTGGTGTCTTAAAACTGCCCCAGTAACTTAAATGGCCAGAAGGGCACCTGGTAAGAGCAACTAAGATCCATCTTCTGAGCCCGTGATCACTGTGTGAGCTGCTCCTCTGCTGCGACTGATCATTTTGTCAAAACAAAACAGATTTTTCTTTTTTTTTTTTTTTTTGTAAGCATCACAGCAAGCAGTTTAACTTCCTTGAACAATTCAAGCTTGAAGCCGCATCCCTGGGCTGCTTACTAGACAGAACAAACACACTGGTCATCTCAAACTCAAATGGGACTAACATAAACTTTTTTTCTTCAGCTACATGTGTGCTCAATGGCAGTATTCACCTCATGCCGTTCAACCAGAACACGGACTCCTTAGACTACAGCCTATTACCTCAGGCTTCTTTTGTGTTCAGAGGAGACAATAGCGGCTTCAAATGGACAATGCAACTCATCCTAAAATAGGGTCTAGCAAAGGCCAGTGCTTTGTCTTCTGGAAGCATGTATTTTTTCATTAATTATAAGACAGTCTGGGTTGGTCGTGTAAAACTTAGACATTCAGGTTCAGACACCTTGCTTAGAACAAGTACATCTCACTTTAATGTTCAAGACCATCTGTAACATTAATTGGCTCTTTTTGTACTAGAAGCAAATGCAGACTAAGTTTGTGAGAGTGTGAGGGGTTAACTGAAAGACCCATACCCTAAAAAGAAAATAATCCCTCAGCCTAGAATTTTTTTTCTGTTATTTGAGCTAAAATTAATGTCACTTGAAAGAGGAGATTAGAAGGAAGTACTTTTTCCTATTTTGGTATTACTTTTTACATTCAATAATGCCTTGCATAGAATTTAGTTATCTTATTAGGGGTCATCTTAGCCCCTGCACAGTTATCTTTCATTTTTGCATGGGTTTTTTGGTTTGGGGGTTTTGGTGACTGGGTAAACAGCAGGAAAATATGCATTGAAAGACATACCGTTATGATACGTGGATTGAGGGTTGTGAATAGGAAGGCTGAAACTCCTGCAGTAGGTTTTTAAGCTGCTTATTTTTCAGGTTAATAGTGTTTTCCCAGACCTTTTAAGATCTTGTTTCATTAAGTCAGGCATGGAAGAGCAAAAAATTGAACAATATTGCAAGACATTAAAGTTTTATTTTTATTCTGCACTCCTGCAGATCTACCTATGCGTTTTCCCTACCATCTTGCTTCAGCTACAGCTTTTTGAATATAAAGTGTAAATTTTATGTAAGGAATGTAAAAAATTTTTATTCTTTTTTGTAAGTAGTACAAAGACCCCTTTCCCCTTTACCCTTCTCTTCCCAGAGGAGCAGGGTCCATGGCGGCTCAATGCTGCAGGTTCACTCTGCTCCAAAGGGGTTGAGATTTGCCAGCTGTGGTGCTGCTCAGGGAAGCAGCCCAGCAGGGCACCACCAAACTCAGGTGTCATGCTAAGAGCACTTAAAACTAAAGCTTGCTCCCCAAAGCCAATGATCATAAACAAGCACTTGATGTTTAACACATACATTAAGTTCTGTCATAATCTTTGCTTTGTTTGTCCTATTGTCTCCTTATTCCTTTATACGATTGACTACATTTTTTTCACAGACATTAAGAGAATGTCCCATAGCCCTAAGAGAGCTTTAAGTGTCAAAATCCATTTCACTCAGACCATTTTTTGCCCTATACTTCAGAAACCCTCTGGAGTCTCTCCATCCCTTCCCTTTTGCATGGCCCAGTGCACCAAAGGCGCAATTTCACCAGCAGTATTTCCATCCTTCTGACTGACAATATGATACCCGGATGCATTTTGGTTACTGATGAGTTACTGCCTCCCATTTTGATGGCCTGTCCCTTATGACACTCTTCACTATCTTTTCAGTGAGAGCATTTGGACACAGTGCCTACCTGGCAGCTAGATAAAAAACATGGAATATATGGGGGTTTTTTCCAAGTGGTGACATCTGGCTTGTTAGCTGACTTGGCTCCCATCTGCATTATGGAGTCAGTTGCTAATGACTGTGTAACCATCCCAGAGAGATGTTCTGGGTCAAATGCTTACAGATCAGATGGGCTGATGCACCCTTCTGCAGAAAAGGGGTTTTTTTGTCTTTTGTTTTTGCTTTCCGCCGATCTTTATGTTTGGCAAGCATAAATGAGAATTTCATCGTAGGACTGTAAATCTTTTCACTTCTGTCTAGTTTTTTATTGCCTGAATACTGTCTCAGACAACAGAGCTGCAACAAACAATAGGACCTACCTGGCTAAATAGTGTAATACTGTGAGCCTGTCTGTTCTTGAGCTATCTATAGTGTTAATGAATGAGACTGGTGAGTATATTCTGGCTTGTCCTAGTCCCTACGGATATACAAAACATCTCAGATAGGAGATACCAATTTCGATAAAAGAACTGGAGTGTGGTTGGATTTAGAATCAAAGAGGATCATGACATCATATATGTAGCCGTGGGTTAGGGAAACTGGAGTCCTGTCTGCATCATACTGGCTCTGGCTGTAGTCCTGTGGCTTGTCTGAGATTTTACCAATGTCACTACAAATTAGGACGAAATTCCTTAAAGTGAAAAGAGTTATCCTTGTGGGCAATTATTCGAGCAACAAATCAAGCTTTGTTTCTTCACACAGAGACACAAATTCACCTCAAATTTAGTGTGTAAAATAAAGAAGTTATCTACAAGCGATAGAATTAATGAAGCCTGGTTTCCTTTAGATATCTTTTTTCCCCAAAACTACTGGTGGGCAATAATCCTGCCTTGGCCTATGTGCTCCATGTGGACACTCCCAGCACAAGGGATAAGCAGTTGCTTCCCAAAAACATTACATCTGCAATAATCATAACACAACAGGCAGGCATCATTCTGAGTCAAAAAGAGGTTAGAAAATGAGAAGAATGGCACTGCCAACTTTCAGCATACAAAACTCATTGTGCGGACAAGCCCAGGCTCCCTGCTCTGTTCAGGTGCTGTTTCAGGTGTGCAATGCAGACATCCTGTGAAGAAGGCATAGATGAGGGGCCAATGGCATTCTCAGACATCTCAATGCTCCTTACATTAGTTATGACCAGATAAGACTCAGATGAATGTCGGACACATGCACTGAAACCTGCTAAGTGAGCAGCAGGACATTAATTGAAATGAATTGCTGTTGTAAAGAACAATAGTGCACATCTAAGAGGAAATGTAAACTACTCTGAGACCACAGAGTCACAATTAAAAATATCAGTTCAGCAAGGATACCAGGGCATCATACAGACTGAGGAAAAAAAAAATCCACAATATTCTGGAGTATGAGGATGGATAATTATTAATTCAAATATAGCTAAATAGGGATGTTTCAGGTTAATCCAAAGTTCTGTCGATAAAACCAATTACACTGTCTCAAAGCGATGTTGCAACTTTAGCAGGGTTGCAGAAAATGGTTATGGGAAAAATCAAGGACATGGAAAATACATGAGAGACTGATGAAAAGTTTGCCATGGTTTACAGTAGAAAGGAATAAGAGAAGGTAGGGAAGTGATAAAAGCACTTACTATAGGGAAGGTTGCAAGAAAGGCAGATCAGGAACATTTTTTTCCCTGTCTCATGATAGGAGAACAAGAGCATATCCAATGAAATCAAAATGTATACATTCAAAATCCAAGAGTCTACTTCACAAAATGTCCCGTGAACACTTTTCACCGAAAATTATTTACGTCAAGAATTTAAGGACCAAAAAGGGATTGGTGGTTTAGTAAGGAAATAATAAATTTATTAAAAATCTAATATTGTATTTTAAAGCTTGAACCAATTTCCAGTTAGAAGAGGTCAAGGTAAGATCTGAGGTAAGGAGCAGATTTGCCTGCTTTGGAGATTTTGCATTCTTGTGTGAAAGAGGGAACAGCTAAATTCTGCTACTCAGTCCAACAATACATTTATTAGGCACAGGATCAATAAACCACATCACCTTCTTCTGTCTTCAGTCCTCCACTGTTTACTATGGCCATGCTCGATTTCACTGGGAACGTTTCCTGATCAATAAGCCTGGAATAATGACCTAACTGAAAATGCCGCATTAGTTGAGAGGAGCGTTATCCTGGCTGATCTTGTGTATCAGAACACAATTACACTTCTTTTCTACCCTGATTTTTTTAACAGGCTAGTTCAATTTTATGTACAAATTGGAAGCAAGGCTGTTGGTAACTCCTGCAACAGACCAAGAGCCAGGAATGAAGGTAAAGCCCTTTTTCTTTATAATAAGCTTTTTGTATTTTGGACCTTCCACAATGTTTTTGTCTTTTACTGCCTTTACAAAATGAAAAAGGTTGTTTTATGTTTAACATAAATCAATTACCTCTTCAGTTTTCAGAAATGGTGCAGAAAAATATTTACTTTCCTTCCACACTTGTATTTATACTTATTTCCACTAAGCCTAAAGGTGATCCTCCAGTAAGAGTAACTGTTGGAGCTATGATGGTTTAAGAAATACAACATTTAGAGGACGAGGTGTAATAGCTTTTATTAGACTACTTGATAGTGTTGGAAAACAGATAAATGTGTGAGCACACAGAACTTTCTTCAGGTCTGAAATAAAAGGAATAAAATTCAAGTCAGGATAAAGCGGGCAACCTGCGTTTCTGACCTGAAGAAGAGCTGTGTGCCTGAAAACTTGTCCAGCTTCTCAACTACATCAGTAGGTCTAATAAAAGATTGCCTTCCAACTCAAGCTCGTGCATTATTTACCTGAAATGCAAAATTATAAAGCTGCAGCTGAAAATGTGTTTAGTCTAAAGAAATTAAACTCTCCCAGCTG